TCATTATCTCATAACATTAGAATGTTGTAGAAGCAAGATATGAAATGCGCAAAAAAATGATTCAGATTTGATCAGCTATTAAGCTAATTACTAATTAAGCTTACGCTTTTGAGGGAGTTATTATAATTTAAAAGTTTTAAACAAATGCACTTATTATAACTTTGTAGATGAAAATGATTTTATTTAATATTGAAAATATTTCTAATTGCTTTGTTACTATTTTATTTTCAAATGAACAATTCTTTTCTTTGAATTAAAAAAAAAATCTATGAGAAAGAAGAGATTATTAATATTTGACTCAAATACTGATCTTTTAATATTGCTTGGAGGAATTAATGTATTCGTCAGTTTTTGGAATCAAAATATTATCAACTGTTAATTGCAACAAATTAATTAAATAAATGACCGTTCATAACGTAGCAGTTAAATCTTGCCAAAGAGTTAAGTGTTGTAAGTCGTCTAATTAATTGCTTGTAAATTTGATAATTTATTAAATTTCAAAATGTTAGAATTTCAAAGCATCGATCGCCTCAAATTTTACCTATAACAGTTTGCAGTTTCAGATGATAACGTAAATTTGCCATATAAATTAATTTGTCACAAGATTTCATTCAGTTACTATCTAATATTCTTAAATTTTATTACTTATCAAATTTACAACCAATTAACAAATACTGTTTATGTTTGCACCAATTTCAGTAAAGTGTTATACGCAGCAGATTTAGTAGTTGCAGATTAGTGAGAATTTGAAATTATAAATCAAGTGCAAAGGTCATCGCCAAAGGTGACATGTATTGCATTGTCCCTTAATCCGAGATTTTTCAAAGCACTGATCGATAAATACTATTAATTTACGTAAGAGTTTGCATTAATCGTAACTAAATTTGGAAAAACTAATTGAATTATTATATTTGGAAAGTGATTATCAGAATTAAATTAAAATTTTTAATTAAAATGATGTAAATTTAACAATTCTGTTTTTAGCTCTTTTGATTGAATTTCATTCGAGAATAATTATGTGAACTGGGATATAGATATAAAATTATTGTAGGAATTTATATGTTTAAATTAAACTAACAAAAGAGTAAAAATTTATGAAATTTATGTGAAATAAACTTGGCACAGCTTTTCTCATTCAATGTTTCCTTGATTGAAAAATTATTTAACTGATTTAAAAATTATAGAAAGGAAAGTTCGTTATTTCAAAATTCTTAATTGATCTAATTCTTTGCGATTTTCATGAAAACAAAAAAATCAGAATTATTTTTAAAGTTAAAATCTAGCTTTTTGGGTCGTATTTTTTAAATGTTACGTAATCAGTGTACCAAAGTCCCTCATTTTAAAATTTTCAAAGCTGCATATGGAAGTGATTGATCCTTATGATACTCTAATAACAATGACAGTATCATCTTTAGAAATTAATCAGATGACTTTCGGCTTACAAAAAGTTACCTATACTTACTTGGCACTTGTCTAGTGCAATACTTTGATACATTTCAAATGAGAATAAGTTTTAGAAAGCTCACTGATCAACGTTATAAATAACTGATAATGCTTAATTGCATGTTATGCAAAATTAAAGCCTTATGATAAATGCTTAGAGCATTGAACTTAAATGCTTGTTTGGTATGTAAATTTAATTCGATTTAATTTATTTTGAAAGCTACTGCCAACCACTTTTATTTATATCCATATTAATGATGAAATTATCACATTTAATCTGATAAATTTATTGAATAAAATAATAAAATGAAGGTAAAAATTGTTTCATAATATCAACGATATATACATTCAATATTGTTGTACATTTTCTTTCTTTCCTTTCTTCCTTTCTTTAAAATACTGAATGATTGTTTGTTGGGATTTAAGAATGAAATTTAATTTTTGTTGAGTAAATCAATACTATAAAATATATTTAAGGGAATAATCAAATAATACTTCTTAATGTTACTTGTCAAAAAGTTTCTCGAAATGGAAACGTTTATATTATCCAACAAAAAAAAAGAAAAAAAACTTTCCAGAAAATGCAAAATACGTATAATCGTATTAAAAGTTTTTTTGTTTTAATTAATTTTTAAAAAATTTGAAATATTTTGTAATAAGTTTCGTACGAAAAGTTCCATTACAAATTATTTTACGATTTCTGATTTTCTTTTTCTCGCAAAGGATAAATACTAAAGAATTAGAATAAAACTTTCAAACAATAATTTGCCAATATTTGTTGAATTCGGATTAAATATGAATGAATTCGCAAATTAATTACTCGAAAAATTCATTTAAAAATATTTAAGTTTTCATAATTTGATAATTTTAACTATTTTGTGCAGAAGGTAAAGGAGAAAAGGTCGAGATTTTAAGGGTGTTTATCTTTAATTTTAAGTATTAATACTTCAGCTATTTTTCCATCTGATAAGGCAATCTGTCACTCAGTCCGCTTTCAACAGCTATTACTTTATTCAACTAGCTTTCTGATTAAATTACATCACTACTGAACTTCTCGGTGAGAGCACAAGACCGTATAGGATATGTTTGGATAAGATATTGATGAAAATTGCTATTCAGATTAGTCAAAAAAGGTTAGTCAAGTGATTAGTCAAGTGTAGCTTAGGATTTGTGGTATCAGAAATAATGCATAACTAATAAGTGTAAAATTAGTGATAATGAAGTGGATAATTTCTTAATGTAGATAGATAAAAGCTAGCATCCTGCAAAGCTTTTCGAAAAAAAGACACATATTTTTGAAATGGTTAACTTTTTTTTTGAAACTTAAATTTTAGAAAACTAAAACGAAATTTTAGAGAAAACTAAGAGAATAATTGAAGATAATTTGGAACAACTGAAATTCAATCGGGAAATTTTCTCATTTGGAAAAGAAACTGTTTTGTTGCCATGCAATTTTCTATTTATCTATTCGTTACGAACTTAAATTTTCATATGCAAAAAATTTAATTTAAATTTTTGCAAAAGTTTTATTTATATAATCAATCTAGTTACACTTCTTTGATGTATATTGAAAATAATCTATCATATAATCAATCAAAAGAAGGAGTATTAAATCGCCGTCCAATGATTCAATAAATAGTTTAAATTAATTTGATTGTAATCAATTTGAACTCACCCAAAAATAATTCTGATATTTCACTCATATATGCTATCATTTTTTAAGCTACATTAAAATTTAAAAAATTTTAATTTTTACAGAAGAAAAAGATGAATATTTGCATTGAATGAAATGAGTAAATAGTGAGCAGTAATTTTGCCTTTCCTATTTTCAAACATACATATATTTGCTATGTTGAAAGTCTATTATTCAATTTCCAATTGAATTACCTATGCCTTACACATGCTTCAAGAGCTCAATGAAGCATAAGTTTTAGAAGCAATAGGCTATAGGCGTCTTTAAATACTCAACCAGATGGGCCTGACACTACCCTTAAGTACCCTTGTATTGCTGATCCCTCCTATTTACAACATACTGCTAAATTTGGGCTTAAGCTTTTTCCTACACATCAACTTCATCTTATTGCTGCTGTTTCAGTGGGAGTAAAAAAAAAAATGATGACAGTTGACATTAAAGGTAAATTAACAAATTTTTCGTTTATTTATGCAAATTTCCAAATCCCCCTAAAATATATCTTGCCTAAAATTGAGTTAGAAAAGAACATCCTCCCATACTATGGGATGAAATGGTAACAATGTAATAAGAAGTTCTTGAATAAGTTAAGAAATAAGTTAAGAAATAGTTAAAAAATAAGAAGTTCTTGAATAAGTTAAGAAAGATTTTGTTGTTGAAAAATGTCGAATAATCTTTTTATACTAGTAATGCGGAACTTTTTTGGCTATCACATAAATTACTCATAAGCATATTTCAAATGAAGAGAAGAAAAAACGGAAACTTCATTTTGAATTCGATAGGAACATTACAATAAACAATTCCACGGAGGAAATACCTTCTTGAATTATTATTTCTCATGATGAAACAAAGATAAAACTGAAAAACGTCACAATACATTTGCGAATGACTAAGTTTACTGAAAATAAAAGAACAATCATTATCTTGAATTTCATTTCACACCTTCATATCCTTCTTTTCTCACCTGAAGCAATTACTTCAAACCACAGTTTTTATTTTATTGTCCACATAATACTGTTGAATTAATTACATGAGACATTCTCGTTTACACCCAAAACTATGCAGTGGAAAAGATCGATTACATTTTTCTTTAGCAGATCATTAAAAATTCGCAATGGTATCACAGTTGTAAGACTTGATCATAACTGATGAACTACTCCGCTTTAGAATTATTCCGTTTATGATGAATGGCCTTATTTGATTTTGACTTTAAAATGAAGCAAGTTGCCTCTGTCTAGCGAAATTTCGTTCCAATCTGAATGAACAGCACAAACACGCTTAAGAAGTTAATAGAATAAAAGCTTTGCCTGCAACAGTAAGAATCTTTTGTATTCTCTGCTAATCTTTGCATGAATAATTAATAACTTATTCTCTTCTTAGTGCTTAAAATTTATTATGAAATCACTAAAAGTATTAATAAAACACTGAAAAAAGAAAGCGACAATATTAACACAAAAGCAAAGAATACAACTGACACGTTTAAACAATTCAAGACAGATAAAACGGAAATTTCGATAAAGAAATGCCAAGCATATTCTAACACGGAAAATTTGCTCAACATTTTTGAGCACATTTTCCAAATGAGCAAAAATGAGGGATAGAAGCCAGAAAAACGATCTCAAACATTGATTGTTTTTAACAAAGATTAAAAAGAAAGAACTCGCCAAGGAAAGTAATGTGTGGAACAGGTGCTATATCCGACAAACGGCAACCTCACAATTCAATTCGTGAACTGGAAGCCAAAAGATTAAATTAAACTAACAGAGGCTTATCATCTATTGGCAGGTTCTTGGCTTTTATTGTATATTAAGTATATCGTCCCTCGAATTCTTGTAATTAAGACGAGCAATATTTACTTTTAATTATTGCAAAAAAATTCTCAGAAAAAAAACCACCAATTGGAAAAGAAGAAAATATGTCGCATCCAGCTACCTACGCAGCAATGTTCAATATACAAACAAGGAACAAATAGATATGAAAAATATTGAAAGTGGAAATTTGTTTATTGTTTATTTCACAATTTGGCACAACCACGCCCACTACCTCTCGCAAAGTGTCGACACGGGCCAAATTTTCCCGAATTTCGACCACGTCCACCACGAGTGACACCCTGACCACGTATTGCGTTACTCTGACCACGTGGTTGGCTGGGAGTTTTACGCGTTCTCGCCTTTTGTTGTGGAACATCGATCATCAGTGCATCCAAGTTCAGATTGTTCGGAAAAATTATATATCGTATGTTATTTCCTAAAAAAAAGGTCAAAAAAATCATAGTATTAACTTACTCGTTCCAAATCCATTTAATTCAATCATCTCTGTCACGAGGCTTAGACTAAAATAATGAATATTATTCTAATGACTGCAAGAATAAGATGCATTTTACAGCTTTTTGGGCTTTCTACATCTTTCCAAGATCGAAGTTCTAAACACACGTTGGCCTTCTGCACATTTATAAAATCTATCCAAAGCTGACAAACCTGTACATCTAAATACAAACGTTTGAGAAAGTCAGTAGTTGTCAGTTTGTTTCGTTCCACAGCTAATAATTTCCTAATAATTGCCTTCGTACTTGGCATATATGGTTTACATTTTAAGCTTTTATATCTATCATTCTCAGTGGTCATTATTATCGCCCATCCGTCTTAATATCTCTATAATAAATATACCTCTGACTGAAACTGCATCCAAAGAAACAGGTTTTTGATTTTTTAATGTCATCCCAACACGATTTAAATGGAAATTCATTGCCATGTCAACGCCGCTAACATAGCCCGTCACCACTGTACCATTTTTTAGCTCTATTGTGACAAATTTATCATGTAATCTCATCAAAAAACGCATCAACATCATACTGATATCTGAAAGAACAGATAAAAAAAATCTTAGAAATCTGTAACGAATACGTCCCCAGGAAAACACAACACACGTGAACTTCGCTCCGAAGCCAAATTAAAAAAAACACCGAATATTGAACATCTCAAATACAAACCTCTCCCCCCAACTTTCATGCCCCCGGCCACATAAACGATATTCAGGATTATTCGGAAGAAGAGCTGCTTCCAGCAGAACAGTATCACTTTTTCCATATCACTTCGTATATGTACTGCGAATGAAATTGAAGAAAAACCATTCATTTAATTAATGAGAAACTTCCAATCATTGGAAATATCCGTTACTACTACTGACTTGGAACGTCGTCCAGCGTACAGCAGATAGAATTTACTCCGCTAGTACAAGGATGACAAAGCATGACACAAATAAGCCACAAGTACAAATTTCAATTTTCGGTCTGCAAATAATGATTCGTGTCCTCAGCAACCTGTAGCGACCAAACATCCTTAAGCATCATCACTGACTACGGAACACTTGTCTCATAAAATCAAAACTTTGAGAAATCACCAGAATCACCCTGTCATTAAATGTGGGTGTTAGTTAAGATGGTGGCTCAACTGTAAAGTGACTACGAGTAAGCCATTTTCAAAACGGCTAATAAGATTAGTTATCAAACCACTTCATTCACAATAAACTAGTTATACTTGCGTGTTCCTAATTGGCTAAGCTGTATCCATGTCTTCTTGTTCGCTTCACGCCACTTGATATGACTTACTCCTCCCATTTTCGTATTAGCGAAAAAGTGGATGATCACGTCCAATTTCCTGGGAGCAAACTTTAATAGAGATCGTAAAAAGTAATAACAATGGACTGCAAGCATAAAGAATGCTACAAAATAAGTCTGAACAATGTGGATAACAGGGGTACAAATTTCAAAAAAGCGACATGAAACTCCCAACTCAAAAACTTTCATGCAAAATATAAAATAAAATCACGATTTCAGCATACTTCAAGGAATCGCAATTACCTAAATTCGAAAAGTTTGAGAATAATTTAGTCAACTGACAAATACAACTTTTTTTATAGGAAAAACAAAAAAAAAAAACAGGACAGCATAACTTTTTTAAAGTGCCTAGCTTCTGCTTACCGCATCAAACCGTTATGCACTTGAGTGATAGCTTCCTTCACAGTTATTACAAGAAGTCTGAGAGATAAGGATATGAAGTAAAGTACATCTATAATCGCTGTGAATTAAGTAAACTGCACCACAAAGAGTAATATCGAAGAAAAGGATGTAACAATAAATTTCTTTTTCATTCTGTCCGCACAAAATTCAACGCATAAAGGATAATAACGCATATTAATATTGGGGAAAATTTATCGCCCACCCCTGAAACCACCACGACCACGAGGCCCACCTCTACCACGACCTCGTCCTCGTCCGCCACGAGTTGGTGCAGCTCGACCACGTCCTCCACGTGCTGGCTTTTTCCGAGGTTCATCATCAACCAGTAACGTATCCAAAGGAATTGTATCAGGTAAAATTATATATCGGATATTATTTCCTAAAAAAGATAATGCTTTGATAGTTAAAGTCAACAGCTTGAAAACTAAACTACTTCAAACTCATTTCAAATTTACTAAATTATTCATATCGGAACGATCCGATAATTACAGCATGCTTCTGAGAACACAAGCAGATAGAAGTTGTTCTAAAATGCTCAAAATATCCGTAAAAACTCAAAAGTCCGGCTGAAACATCAGAATAACGTTTGCAAATAATAATGACGGTAAACATAACTCGCACGCTTTCCTCATGAAAATAACAGAAAAAATCACTTTTCTCTTGTTTCAGGTCTTGAATGAGCTATTCCTAAAGCAGAGGATCAATCAACATTATAAGGAAGTCATGAATAACATTCAAATACCTGCTGTATTCATATGTTTATTGAAACCACCCAACAACTTTACAGGGCATATTGTTCGCATGAAAAACTTCTTGAAATGGGAAAAGTAGATATCCATCTTAAGAGATTTTAGCATATGCATCTAAGCCTGAACTATTTTTACACATACTTCTTAAATCCGACTTCCTAAAATATTATGAATAACCAAAGTTCTACAAAAGTTCTGAATAACCAAAGTTCTATGAATAACCAAAGTTGCCCATATTATGAATAACCAAAGTTCTACCATCTGTTCACAATTTTATCATTCAAACAGATAACAGGGCATCTTACGCTAAAAAACTACAAATTAACCTCTGATTGATAGTGAATCTAGGGAAACGGGTTCTCTATTCTTTAGCGTCATTTTGACGGTCCGCAAATGGGTATTCATTGCCACGTCGACGCCAACAATGGTGCCTGTTACCAGTGTTCCATTCTTCAACTCTATTGTTACACTTTCGTGGGCCAGTTTCATTAAAAAACGCACCAGCTTCATTCTGTAATCTAAAAAAATAACAGATACTACGGAAGCACAAAAACGTAAAGATTCTCGTTAGATTTAAATATGACATTACGTTCAATTGTTTGCATCAACATAATGAAGAGTACATTATGGCTTGATGAAAATGACAAATAAACAGTAAAAAAAGTCGCCAAAAAGTAAACTGTATGTTGAAAAAGAAATAGGCAGTAATCAAAAAATGTAATTCTAACAGACCAACAAGCCAAATCAAAATTGTGAAATCAGAATATGATGAAATTATCTAACTGAAAATTGGCCCATTCATTCTATCTGTCACATTTCTACTCATTTCGTTAATATCATTCCAAAGCTTCCGGAATAAACCGATATGTAATACGAATGCAAATAGATCTGCCGAATAAGGTTCAAGATTATCAAACTGTTCAGTTTGCTCAGTGAGTATGCAAACAGGATAAAAAACTCAGAATAAACAATCGACAAAACTCTCAAGATGTCGTCAAAATGTCCTAATGTCATCCACCTTTACCTTTCCTTAATATTTCAACAATCCTTAATATTCCAACAAATTTATATCGATCCATCCACAGCAAACTGGGCAATCAGAGTACATATGGATAGTTCCTATCACGAAAATTCTTACAAAATTTTCGAGTCCAATTACTATAACTTACAGATTCCCAAACATTCATACATGGTAGCCTCAACCTTCTAGCAAAAGAAAATAGATTTGTCCGAAGAACTTATTAAGTCCCAAATAGAAACCCCGAAGGACCGTCCCACCACTGTCCACAAACACATCACACTCAGGAAGTATAGCCAAACCGAAGGCCATACCCATTTACCGTATCCTGCCTTGTCGTTGCATAGCAACAGTTATGAGAAATGAAATAAATCCCAAATCGGCAAATTCACAGTCTTCTACTAACCCCCTAGGGTTGCTAGTTTGTTTCTCCATCTTCAAAGATCTCTGGATGCGTTCTTGAATTCCCGTCTGTTTCTTTTGGAATTATGCACCATAACGGAAAACTTGCACTATAGGACTTCTATATTTGGTATAAAATGTAGTAGGAGACGGGATCATATGTTGAATCATATGTTTTTTGTATTATTGGATAGTTTAGTATCGTGATGCGAAGAGGACATCGAATATTAGGAAAAACGCACTCCCGGAAGGTAGTATTATCATATCAGTTAGTGAATTAATTTGGATAGTTCAAGTGCTTATAACCTGACTCTTCTGCTGATAATTCGATTTCCCATTTTCTTCCTTGGTAACCTGAAGATTAGCTACTGTCTTCATGACCTTCAGCTAACAACGCAACCCTCCTCAACTAGTCCCTACTTCACCAGACGATGATTCATCAGCATTTCCTCCGCAACTCGTTTGTGCTACGATGACACACGGTTTGAGATTGGATGGAATGCGTGGGTACATTCCTATGCGTTTTTGTATTGATGCCAGAAATTGAAGTGGTGGGGTGCGTGTGTTTGTACTCACGGGGTTCTGCGTGAAGTCTCGGGGATTCTTGCTAATTGCTAAGTAACGCTTAATAAACTGTTAGTTTTCTCGGCTGATCTCGGTTTTTAGTTCTCCATGGGATCTCGAGTTTACGTGGGACGATTGTCTTATCGAGCGCACGAACGTGATATTGAACGGTTCTTCCGGGGTTATGGTCGCATTACGGAGATTCTACTCAAGAACGGTTACGCTTTCGTGGAATTCTCTGATCGTCGAGATGCAGAAGATGCGGTCCATGATTTGAATGGTCGTTCGTTACTCGGCGACAGGTTTCTTCTTTTCAGTTTGTTGATCTATGAATATCAAAATAACTCTAGGTTGTCGTGCGGTGGGTTATGAATTAATAAGAACCATAAAGCCTGGATTACCATACCATTATTGAGCTTAGTCATTCGATAGGTCATCTCCATTGTATATCCTGGGATTTGTTAATTGATCTCGTGGAAATTGGAATTTACATAACTTTTATGCTATTTCGTGTTGTTTTAGGGTAATAGTGCAGAATGCTAAAAGTCGTCCACGTGGACGGGACATGTATCGAGAACGGATGCGTGAGCGTTCACGTTCACGAGATCGAAGACGCAGTCGGAGCCGTGATCGGAAACGAAGTCACAGTCGTGATCGAAAAAAGAGGTTTAATTAATACTAACTACTATATTTTTCCCGTTTTATATTATCTTTTATTTCCAACACCATAAAACTTTTTAAACTTTTATACGACGTTAGGGTTTGATAATGTTCTCCTTTGATATTGAATTCTTCAGTAGCTTGTTTAAATATCATGATGGTTCTTAGAAGGTTAAATAGAACACTTTAAATCGTATAATCCTTTCTGTCAGAAGGAAGACGTTGTTGGGAATCACTGACGTAGATTATTAGTTTGAAATAAGCATGAATGATTTCAAGAATATCTTTGGGTTCTGCTATTTCTACGTTTACCTGTTTGCTTTGCTGGACTAATTTGTTCCAATATTGGGATTTCTTTGAGATCTGGATAAATAAATTTTAGAAGACATTCGTCAACTGAAAGCGAATCTCCCGAAGATAATCGCCGCCGCTCATCATCGAGATCGCAGAGTCCAAGTCCAAAGAAAAGCTCTAAGAAGTCGGGTTCTGATAGAAAGCGAAAGCGTGATAGAAGTTCATCAAGTCGATCACCCAGTCCAGATACGAAAAAATATAAGGACAAACGTAAGGAGCGGAAATATCGGAGCAGTTCAGAAAAGGTACAATTACATCTTTTAGTAATGTTCTTAATGAAACATGATTTTTTTCATAATTGGATTTGAAGGTTTCTTGTTGAAGTTATAATATTTGAAGTCGTACAGAAGCCCGTAATAAAATTTTTGGATACAGACTTTAATGTCTGTTTTCCCAAATATTAGGCCTAGTAATCGTTTTTTGGTTTTATTTAACTTTCACTGTTGCAAGATTCGCTGCTGATCGGTAATTTAATAAGTGCTTTCTTATCACAACCTCAAATGTTTGTAACTGGAAATACGTACTTTGAGTCGTACTTCCCAGTATTATTAGTCTTGCATCAGTTGTACCACACTGCATTTCGCTAGATATATTTTTCTTTTGAAATGATTGAAGAATTACGCAAATTTGCAGGAAGGGAGTGCGGATCGTGGTGGAATAAATACGTGCAGCATCATCGTTCGCGGTTTCGACAACAAAGGCAAATTTGAAAAGGTCAGTTAGTATTTCATCTCTATATTTTGTTGTTCCATGTAAATCTGCATCATTCGATTTGAGTCGGAACTTTCATGTATAATAAATCTCACTAAGCCGGACAGAATTCATTTTTCTTGACAATATTGGCGCATAATTGCTTCTCACTTTAGTTGGTACTGTTTCGGTACTTTACATGATTCCCAGAATTTTGGGGCTGGATTTAGGGAAGTAACGTTGCTTGATTTTCCAACCCCCATTAAGGATTGAGAAACATCATCACTTAATAACTTGCATACTCAAAGAGTGCCAGTGTAGTTTTTGGGAGTTTAACCAGATTTTAAAGAAAAAGCGTGTAACGGTATGGTACCACTGTGTTAAGTATTGAAAACAAAATATTCGGATTCAGAAGTTTGATGGGATATGTTTTTATGCGTCACTACTGCCACCAACACATCATTATCCGAGTGGTGCATAAATGTGAATGTTGTGTTACAAACATCTACCGTTCGTTCACGTTCATCCACACAATTCATCCATCCATTCGTTCGTTCGTATGCTCACTGCGCACTCAAATCATCCGGTTCATCCAACCATATCCAAATCTTGCGTATATCCGTTGTTCGTGGCGAGACGTTCATGCATACATCCGCTCGAAAGACTACGCAACCGCCTTATCACGTGGTGCGCTCTGTTCAGACAACTCGTTCCGCATCTACATTGCGCAGCCCCGTATCATCCGTAACCATTCATTTGGATTGTTGAGCACGCGAAATGCATTATTATAAAATAGCGGTACGCCGCATTGCTCTTGATTATGGATTTCGATGGTTCTTTTTTGATTCTTTTTTGCTTTTTTTCGAAAACTTTGTCTCTAAAGTTCTGTTGCATATATTCATTATTTCAACAAATTTGTTTTCAGCGTTTAAAGCATATTGCCAAGAAATATGGTGATTTAACAGATTTCGAAATGCGCGATGACAATACCTGGTATGTTTGGATGTTTGCCATTTGTTTTTCTTTTAAAATTATCCACATAAGCAGAACTAGTGTAAGTGATTAAGGAGTTATTTGCGATGTATGAAAATTTTCGGTCTTCGAACTTTAGAATTTTGTCAGCGGTTGCTGATTACTATAACTGAGATTAATTCTTTCTCACAATGCGTAAGCATTTTTATGGTTTCTTGACATTGTCATTGGATTCGTAAACGTTATTCAGAAAGAGCAAAGACTAATGTTTAAATAACAGATGGTTTTGACACATTGCTTAAATAAAAACCAATAGTATATATACCTATCTTTTTTATCCAAGTACGTGATTAAGACTTGTATTCGAGCTCAGAGTAGTCATGTACATCTGTCTTCAACTTCTCTACTTTAATATTTCTTTCAATATCTTCATCGTCCTCCGAAAAAGCTTGACCCACCGTTTCATTTCAAATTCTTCCGTTAATAAATCTCTGAAGGCTTTTTTTTCTGACTAATAATTTCACCCAAAAGAAATATGTATGCATGTGTACGAGTATATATGTAGCATTTTAACACTTAAGTAATCGATTGGTCGGTTTTGTTTCTGTGCAATGTCGTTGAACGGAAGTCTATACCTACTGTTACGAAGCACGTTATTCCTCAGTGACCGTCGTTAGCTAAAATCGTACTCTTATAATGATAGAAACAACGTTAGGTATTTGATGTTTGGATAGTTTTCTTTAACAATGACATATGCACATACAAATAAATGAAAGGGTTGTGGTACGGATGGTAACTGTAAAAGGTACATTTAAGAGCAGTGATCTTAAAATTCCACTTTAGTTTGGTACGTTTCGTTGGCGTAAAAATATTCTCTATTATTGATACATCACAGAAATCATTTCAACTAAAATGGACTACAAAACTATTATTCAGAGTAACTGTCATTATTTTCAAAAATGTTTTATCTTTATCACTGCGAATATAGCAGTCAATGACTGGAAGGAATTCCTGATCAGAACTCAAAGTTTTATAAAAATATTTTCGACGAATAGAGCATAACGCGTATGATTAAGTATATAGGCAGGAAATTAGCGGCATTTATATACGTGTAAACTAAATCTAATTATAGTTTTCCAACTAATCGAACATACAGTCCTATAAGATGTCGATCATCATATCATTAATGAATTTGTTATCAAGTTGATGTGTTTAAAAAGAATCTCTCGGCACACTTTACCATTTCAGAGAACAGTCATCTATTTCGATGTTGAGGAGTTACGAATTTATGTAAATTATTGAAAAAACTGTATTTTTGAGTTAAATTAAGAGCATCAGTAGAAATGGTGGAGTAATAGTTGTCGGTGAAAAACCTGTCGCTTGTCCGGCACGTGCATTGTATATGTACACGTGCATTGTATATGATGATTATATTCTAGCTCTCCTTTAATGCTAGAATGAGGAACAATTTACTTTATGCAAATTATTTGAGGTTTGAAGACTTAATGAAAGTAACTCATTGTACCAAGAGAACTTTGCCAAAGACTAGTAAGGTATGATTGAAAATGATCTCTGAGTCAATTGGAACTATGTACATTGGAACTATGTACAGATATACGATGCGTCATATCCAAGATGTACTTGCAGTCACATAGCGTATAGTTGCTTTATCTCGAGACTTGACAAGACCGACTGTGTTTTCAGTTGAGGTATGATGTCACTGTTATCCACAACGTCCAAAAAAAAGAGATGGCACTGTTTCCTAAAAAAATCAACTCGGGATTTATCTTGAGTACGGTTGTGAAGAATTATTGAAGTCAGAGAGCTGCAAATACGATAGTGGAACGAAA